GGCCAATCAAAACCATACGTTATCACCTGACTTTTATTGCACGACCTTTTTAGGGTGAATCCGATGACTTGTCGGAAACAACCTCTACTATCATATTTCTGAGACGATACCCGTTGGCGATATATTATTTTAGTTGTTTTCACTGATGATTTTGAACGTGTCATAGTTTTTTATTAATTTTTTTTAAAAGGGTATTGAGGTAATAAATTTATAAAATATTTAATAATATAACCAACGTTAGAATTGGTGAAATAAAGTAGTTGTTGGAGTTAAATGTATTTTTTTAAAAGATTTCTATTTTAGAAAAAAATATAGCATAACTGTGAAGATGTTTTAAGGGGATGTTTGGCAATTGCTGAATGATTTGGTGCAGAATGATTAAGTGGTCAGAATGATTAAGAGGCTCTCATGATATAGTGCAAGATGAAAAATAATTGTTTGGTAATTGTGTACAATGGAATTAGGGCTCTTAATGGTTAAGGGAGATCCAAAATACAAAATCGTTCAAAGGGTTTTAGAACCATTAGGAGGCAGACTTTTTTTTTGCCAAAACAAGATTCATCTCTTAATGATTCAGAGATTGCCTCTTAATGGAACTATTAAGAGGTAAATAAACAACCCCTGTTTACAATGATTTGTACATCACACTGTACGATTAAGATCGTAATTTTTTTTAATTTAACCAGGTATTATGGGACATGGAAAAGCAAATTGGTGTTGGTAACAACTCTTTCAGTTAAGGAGTTTTTTTTTTTTTTTAATTATAATACTAGAGTGCCGGTTCATTAGGGTCGTCATCTTCGAGCCAACTACTGGAAAAGTATCTACCGTTTTCTTCGTCTGTTAAGCCTCACAGCTTCCTAAAGRAAACTGCAATCGCAGTTTATCAGCCACTCACAAGACCACCTGGAGTGTCTGTCAAGGGTGCTAGCGCATACCCTGAAGTGATCATCACCATCTGGCATCTACACCTCACATTTCGACACAGTACAACGTGTAAACCCGCCTGCTGTTCGACAAAAGGAATTTTGGGGGGTTATGGTCAATGAGGCTTTGTTATATCATAATATGTTTCCATGTTAAATCAGTGGAAAATTGGTTATATATTTGTAATGACAAAGAGACATCTCATCTGATAAATTAATTAAAATAGTCATTTTCAAATGTTGGTTTTATCTCTTTTTTATTTTTCTCTTAATATTTTAAAAATGTCACTAGGTTCGTAAGTAACACCTCCTTAATTTGCGAAAGGGGGTAAAAGTGTAAAAAAAAGAAGTTTTTGAACCAAGTTCGTAGATACAGGGACCAAATCTATACATCAAATATAAGTCTGTAAGTGGCACTTCCGCTGTTCTCGAATTAATTTCCCTTGCTATATACGTTATGCTATGTTCTTGAATTTGAGGAGAAAAGAAAAATGAGAAGAAAATAAATCTTTTTTTAATTTGTGTTCTAGGGGTTGTTTGGTTAGAGGTATTAAGCAGTAATTAATGAGAATAAAAATAAAAGAAATTATTAGGTTTTATATAATACTAGTTGTGTACCCGCGCAATGCGGCGGGAGCCATGAATTTTAACGATTTTGAAATTCCACTGGTTTTATAACTGAACCAAACACCCCTTTAATTTTTTCTGTTATTGGACATGAGGGGAAAGAAAGTAAAAATGTCATTTTTAATAATAAACTCTATAAAAATATACCCTTTAGAATAAAAGATCAGATAGTTTTGTAATTTTAATAATTTTTTTAAAGGGTTTAATCTGTTTACTTTCCTCACATATTTGGGTAGAAATTTATCATTATTTTTCTTCCCCTTTTTTCATTTCTCTGCTAAAAAAGTTTTAAGAACACAGAGTTTTTTTTTTTCTCTCTTCGCTTTCCTCTCATTTCCCTCCATTTCCTTTCCTTCACATAGAAAAGGTTTAAAGAATAAACCACAAGGGTGGTGTCCGATTGGTTTGAGCTTGGACTCCAAAGATAAAAAATGTCTGGAGATCCTAGGTTCGAATCCAAAGATAAAAATCCCCTTGTGGCCACGGAGATTCAAATGCGGTGACTCCGGGCTACCCGCGAAACAGATGGTCGTCCTGGGATTAGTCGTCTCGCATAACGGGTTGAATATCCATGTTAATAAAAAAAAGGTTTCAAAAACGAAACATTACTCTTTCCTCCATTTTATTGTAGAAAGCAATGATAACTCAGGTTTTCCAACAAAAATTGAATTTCTTTGATGGTGTTGTTGTTACAGCACCTCCAACAGCTATGCTATAATTTTTCTAAAATTAAGTATCAAAAGTTACAATGTCTGGAAAAGAAATTTAGATCTAACTCCAACAGCTACTATATTTTAACAATTCTACCAATAATTATATTATTAAAATATTCAATACATTTAATAAAATATTAATTCTCTCTTCTGAACACTTAACTTCAATGTCTTATATTTGTGAGAAAAAAATAAATATTATTTATCGATCTTAAATATGGAGTTTTAAAGATTTCTCCAAATTTGAAGATCTCTACTTTCTCTGGGTTTTTTTTTTCTTTCTATTTTTACGTACAAGATAACATAGCTGTCGGAGCAAAATAATTGCTGAAATCTCACTTTTCACTATTTTTTAGCATAACTGTTATAGATACTCTTAATTATTAAAACATAGAAGTTTGTTCAAGATTCTTCTTCACGATGATTACAAGATAATTACTTGGTAACATTTTGTTGGTTACCAAAGGGCCTTTGACTAGCGGTATGTGGGCCTTTGGCCTCTTAGCAGGGCAGTGGTTCAAACATTCTCAAAGGTGAGGAGTGTGTGTGAGTTTATATACTTCAAAAAAAAAACATTTTGTTAGTTGGTCGGTAGATCTTCGAATTTTGTTGACGTATAGATCTCGGAAAAACAATCAATTTAAAAAAAGATCATGTCGATTTAAGTTTTGATCGAAAAGTTTATGGTTGTTACACGATAAGAACTCAACTCGATTGTTGCTTGACGAATCTCTAGAATATTCCAGTGTACAGGCTACGACTATACGACAACTACTTGATAGAACTCGATAACAACTCGATGGACCTCCAAATTTCATTATCATGATTACCGGATGTATATACTCGATAGAAGTTGATAACAGGTCGACTATTACATGATGGATTTCCAAATTCAGTCAACATGTAGATTTTGAAAGAAAAAAAACGTCTTAAAAGATTAGCACAATCTGGGTTACGAGTGAAACATTATTACCCCTCGATAACAACTCTGTTGATCTCCAAAAAAGTATTTAAACACATATATCTCGAGAAAAAGAAAACCAACTTCGAAAGAAAAAATCATCTTGATCCAATTTATGAATGAAAATTTATGACATCACAGTAACAACTTGATGGATCTCCAAGATTTTGCCTAACACAAAGATCTCCGTACCGGTCCTTCGTGAACCGTTAAGGATGCTCGTTGCCATTCGGTTCCAATCACAAACGAGTAACATTTACTATCGGTTTTTCTCCGACAAATTAGGTTCTTTATCCGAATTACTAGTTAGTTAACTCCAACCGGCAGTAAACTAAAAACACGGATAAATGAAGTTCTTACATCTGGCATACATCGTTACGTTAGTATATGCTCTCAACTCTCACAACGTCACCAATGTCGTTGATTTTCGAACGGCAATATAATTCCGAATGATACAATTGCTAAATGCATAAGCTGTCTTTGGGTTTTGAATGCTATAAACCCAGTTGGGAGAAATAATTTCTCTTAACCACAAGGGTTGTGGCATAGTGGTTGAGGTCTCGAGAGTCGCTGATTTTCGAATGCGATCTCGAATTATACGATTACTAAACGTGTAAACCATCTTCGGTTTTCGAATGCTATAAGTTTAGTTGGGAAACATAATCTCTCCTTACTCTTTGGCTACACGATATCAAATGGCCATTTCCCTATTGCTTCATTTCTAAGTACTTTTCATCCATCTAGAGATTCAGTAAATTGTATATAAATGCTGAACTTACAAGAGAAAGATCACCACCGACTATATCAGCTAGACACAAACTATCAAACCAATATATAAAAACATTCAAGGGGTTTCACATCAGCCACACACGGACCATCAAAACCAGTATATAAAAAGATTCAAGGGGTTACACATCAGCTAGACACAAACCATCAAACCAGTATATAAAAAGATTCAAGGATTCCACATACAATCAAACCAGTATATAAAAGATTCAAGGGGTTCAACATCAACGAGACACAGACCATCAAACCAATATATAGAAAACTTCAAGGGGTTCAACATCGGCTAGACATAAACCATCAAACCAGTATATAAAAAGATTCAAGGGGTTCCACATAAACCATAAAACTAGTATATAAAAAGATTCAAGAGGTCCCACATCAGCTAGACACAGAACATCAAACCGGTACATAAAAAGAATCAAGGATTCCACATTGGCTAGACACAGATCATCAAACCAGTATGTAAAAAGATTCAAGGGGTTACACATCTACTGGACATAAACCATCAAACCATTATATAAAAAGATTCAATGAGTTCCACATAAACCATCAAACTAATATATAAAAAGATTCAAGAGGTCCCACATCAGCTAGACACAGAACATCAAACCGGTACATAAAAAGAATCAAGGTTTCCACATTGGCTAAACACAGACCATCAAACCAATATATAAAAAGATTCAAGGGGTTACACATCAACTAGACATAAACCATCAAACCAATATATAAAAAGATTCAACGAGTTCCACATAAACCACCAAACTAGTATATAAAAAGATTCAAGAGGTCCCACATCAATTAGACACAGAACATCAAACCGGTACATAAAAAGAATCAAGAATTCCACATTGGCTAGACACATACCATCAAACCCGTATATAAAAAGATTCAAGGGGTTCCACATAAGTTATAGATAGACCATATAAGCCATTATATAAAAACATTCAAAAGGTTCAATAAATCCTCACTAAAGAGTTACCAAGATACAGTATCCAACTTATACCTTCCTTTCTTCAAGAAAAAGGTCATGATTCAAAACCTTAATTTGAAGAAAAACTTGCCTGATTTGATCATGGATTCCTCCAAAATTACCACCTCCCATTGAAATCACCATCTTCCATCAATTTCTGAGTAATTTGAACACAAAAGTTTGAGCAATGGCTGAAAGAAAACTTGAAGTATATAACATTTATCCTTTAAATACTTCTCTTTCCTAACTATTGCTTTCGCTTAAATAACATCAGCCAAAGTTAAATTCTACTTTCAACTCCTCATCTATATACCATAAACTTGCATCACTTCAATTCTTGAAGTTGAATATTACGATAAAGAAAGTTGAAGTACAAAAAAAGAATCAAACCAACTTCAGACATTCTGTCTTTCGATCGGATTTCGCTGTCCAAACCTGCAATTGACCTCAAGATGCCATCACCATTCAAGCTCACAAGCTTTGATGACTGTATTGTTTTTCATGGTGTTATCTTCTTCAAATCATCATTAATGGCGATCATGAGAATCCTTTACCGAGCTTCTGAATGGAGCAGAACATTTTTCGCCTGGATCCAACTGCATTTATCCCCATATCTTTGAGATCCTCTAATGTCAATAATGGCAGAACTTCATCATCAACCTCATGAACTTCAAAGATTGGGAAGTAACGCCCTAACCCCAATTGATTCAACCAAACCCTAACACCATTCCTTTCTGGATTATTGTTGTTCCAATTCCTTGCATCAGTATCAGAAGGTCCATCCAATTCAACCCCATCGGAAACCCTAACCCTAGTTCCATCTCTCGATCTATGCAAATCCCTTTCGTAATCCATTGATAGATTCAAACTCTGTTCCTTTAATTGACTAGCGGAACCTTCTCGGTCGAAATCACGATATCCATCATCATCATAATCAACCTCATCTTCAAATTTCTCATCTCCATCATCCATCTTTGAAGTCCAATTCGATCTGACTCGTTTCGTCAGCATCGAAAACCCCCTTTTGGATTTCGCCGAATCCCTAACTTTCCAACTCCCAATCGCGACACAATCCAATGGATTATTGTTATTGTTATTGTTATTACCATTACCTAAATTGTGATTACTCTTGTTTCCGCCATCTTTATCATCACCTCCTCCATCTAGGGTTTCGTGATACTCCATGGCGCCTCCACCAGATAGGTTCATAAGCTGTCTGGTTTTGGAAGTTTTCGATTCCTTTGATGCGTACTTCCATTGTTGTTGTTGTTGTTTCGATCTTCTATGATTATCGTAGGTGTGTTGATCTCCTATCTCACCTAATCTGACGCTGGGCCTCCGCTGTCGTTTGGTCGGACCGGCGACAGGTTCCACCGGAACACTTACCATAGGCACAACAGCACCACCAGCACCTCCGCCGTTAACCAGACCCTCCACCGGTGGTTGAACTTCAGCCATTTTTGTAGCAAAAGAAGAAAGAAAGTGAAGGTGTAGTGAGCTTCGGGTATAGAATTTGGTGGGGGGAGAGAGAGAGAGAGTAAATTATTTGGACGACACGTTTGTGTTCAGATGCATATCATACGCAGGTTCGTATCACTCACACCCGATAAAAATAATACAGTAATTAATATTTATTATTTATTATTTATAAATAAATATTTAAATATTATTATTATTAATAAATTTTGATTAATTATTAATTAGTTCTGATTATATATTTAAAGTAATATTATTATTTACGATAATAATTCATTATTTTTATGATATTATTATTTAATATTCTTTATAGGCTAGTTTTACAAAATATGATTTGTTCATCAACTAGCTTATAGGTTAACAGTTATCTTTCAGAACTTTTGGTTAAATACATTGTAATTTTTTTAGGAAATGCAATTAAAAATAAGGTAATATTTATAAAGAAATACAATAATTGGAGGTGCTCTTTCCTCATCCCCTCTTCCCTTAATTCTCAAGATGGAGACAGTGTAGAACCTGTTTTGACAGTCTTAGAAACCGACAATGGAAGATGTTGAAACCGTTTTGAACAGAGGACGAAAGCAAAGCAGTTAGAGGCCGTTGTAGATTCATTTGCGGAACCGTCGTAGATTCATTTGTGGAGCCCGCGTAGAGGGAAGCTAGAAGTCGTCATAATAGTTGGGAGGCAATTGGCCATTGACCATCGTAGATGTAGGTGGGGCGCAAAAGTTAGGACGGGGTCAAGATAGCTTGTTCACGGGGCCATCAGGTACGACAATGACTAAGGGAGTGAGAATGAAAAAAACGAGTAGGTTTTAGGGTTTTTTGTTTATTTAGTTTAAAATGACTATTTTACCCCTTGTATTTAACAAAAAGTTAAAATGGAGGGCTAAATCCATAATATTCCAAGTACCACATGACCAAAATCCATAGTTTACCCATAAATATTTAAGTAATATATGGAGCATCATTAAATAAGTATTACGACAATTTTAAATAAGCATAAAATATAATAAAAAATGATAATTTATTAATAAATAAGGAAATTAATGAGAATGGTCATTTTCAAGCCATTTCTTCTCTCAATATTTAAAAAACTTCACTACCTCCGTAAACAGCTCCTCAATTTTAAAAAGGGTTAATATATATTTATATATATATATATATATATATATATATATATAAATATGAATTCATAAATACAAAGACCAAATTTGTAAATTAGTCCCACCACTTACACAAGTGGCGAAAGTGCCATTTGGGAACTCTTATCTAATTTACAGATTTGGTCTATATATTTGTAGACCATGTTCGAATTTTTTTTTTTTTTTTTACATTTTGATCCATCCACAAATTGAGGAGGTATCACTTGCGGATAAGGCTATAAATGAACCGAACGAAAACGAACAAAGACTTGTTCATGTTCGTTCGTTTAACTTAACTGAACAAACGAACGAACACGAACAATAAGCGAACAAAAATCTTTGTGTTCGTTCGTTTAGAAAGCAGGTTGTTCGTATTCGTTTATGTTTGTTCGTTAACATGCTAAACGAACATGTCTAAACAAACATAAAACGATGAAAAGGTAAAAAAAAATTCAAATAAGACAAAATGAAAATAAAATTTAAATCTAAATAAATTCTAAAAAGTTATAGCTTAAATAAATATTGTTTGAATTCAAACTAAATAAATAAAAGATTTTATATTAAATTTAATATATAAACGAACGAACAAACGAGACTTTTGTTTATGTTCGTTCGTTTAACTAAAAGAAAATTTGTTTATGTTCGTTCATTTATTAAATAAATAAACATAAATGAACTTTTAGCCGAACGGTTCGCTGAACGTTCGGTACGTTTACAGCAGGGGCAAACACAGTAGCAACCGGGGGTCAAAAGGTCAAAAAAAGTTTATAGGTTAAATTTTAGGTTTTACATGATTTACCTTTCACTTTTCCCCATTACATTTTTCCACAGGCCCCAACCCCAATCGAAACCACTACTCTAACAAAAAAAATCTATTCAAAATCAATCAAAAAAACCAAAAGAGTTATTCGAAATCGACAAAAACACTAAATAATCCCTCGAAATCAACCAAAAAAATTTAAAAATCTCTTGAAACGTTGTAATTAGATTAAAAACACATCGGACGATTTTACGAATCTTTAGTTTACCTTAAAGGTGACTCCTAAACAAAAATCCTAGACCCACCACTGATTTACACCCTACTCACAGAGATAGTGATATTGTTTAAATTTAACAAGACAAATGATTAAAAAACTGAATTAAAAACATAGCTATTTTTATTAATTTCCTTTATAAAATAATATATTACAAAATAAATCTTGAGTGGGTGTTTTTATGACAAAGGTTTGTATTGGAATCAATTTTGGCAAATAAAGGAAAAAACTCTCTCAATCTTTTACCTTATTCGATTCCAATTATGGATTGAATCATCATTTTTTCCTTTTTAGTCCTTATTGTTTGTTGAAATTTTTTATTCCAGTCCTTTAATTCTTAAAATTACGGTTTTAGTCCCTATAGTTTGCAATTTATTGTTTCTATGTCCCTTGTACTTAACAATGAACCATTGACGAAGTTAGCATCAAGGACTAAAAACAAAATGAATTGCAAAGTATAGAACAATACAAGAGCCCTGTAAACTACAGTAAGATGTCGGGTTCATTTACTTGTAGACTTGTCATTTACTCTAAAAAATAGAAAAGACTTGTTTTCATAAAGACCCCCTGCTTGCGAAATATACAAAATAACAAATATATTTAAATAAATATTTATGTTTTAGGGATCGTTCACCAAACGTTTACCGAGTGTTATCTTATCTGATGAGCATGACAAGGACTGGTGATCTTACCCAGTAAAAGAGATGACAACAACTGAGGTTCTTATCAGTTAAGTGAGGGAGAAGACTCTTACAAGGTCAACCTTTGCTAGGTATGAGATGCTTACAAACAATCTTATTTTGATGGTTGAGAATGTTACCCGACAAGGTAAGTGAAAGTGTAACCCTTGTCGATAAGCACTTACCCAGTAAGCATTTGGTAAACAACCTTTTAATATTATGTTGTGTACATTGTAGCACGTAATTAGCTACAAAATAGGCTATTGCTTTGAGATTCTATACACAAATAACAGTATGCGTTACATATTCTCTTGCAGATAAATCTAAAGAAGAAGATCATTAATAGTTACTACGTACATCTAGTAATTAAGCATATAATACTCATATGACGTACAACAAAAAGCGGAGACCCAAAACCGATGATACAAATATGCTACTCGACTTTGGCTCTAGCTTCCTCTACTTGCGGCATTTTCGACTCGGCTGGAAAGTATTTTATGCCCACTAGGTCACCAACATTACTAATAACCTGATATGTATTTCATGTCACTTGTTAATTAATTACTCAAACCCCCATTCCAACAAAAAAAAAACATCATATAACTTATTCTTATAAGCTAACTTATTGAAATCCTACTTAGAGTAACATTTCAATGAGCTCCAAGAGCTTTTTGTCATTTTTCTTTCAGTTAAAACATCTCCAACATGTATGCTATATTTTTTTGTCTCTTTTTTCTTTGTAAATTTGGAGATTAATATTGATTAGTAAAGAAAAATTAGTTATTTACTAATATATATGCTA